CTTGCTTCACGTTCGAATACCCATCCTATGATGACCATATCCTCATTATGGAATTCTCCACAATTTCGTCCCTTGGGTCTCTGCCCGAGCTGGAGGGCTCAGCTCTCTTTCGGGCGGCACCGACAGACGTGCACCTCGCCGTCCAAATGTGTTTCGAGAGTGATGACTTCGACGCTGAGCACAACTTCCGGGTTACACATGTGGTCCCAGTGTCGGTGCTTACTTCCAGAATCCGACAGATGCTGGGTCAGTCCGCTCCCGTCATCCCATGGGAAGAATGGGGTCCGTCATATACGGTGATGACTGGCCCCGTATATTATGATCAGTATCTGTCTCGACCTATGCATGGGGTCGCCTCTCAGCGCCTCGTTGACTGGTTCCACCCAGCCCACCACACCGCAGAGGATACGGCGGAAGTCTTCGACTTTCGAGTCCACAGGCTTCGACGGGGATTGCAGTCCGGAAAAATGCAAGAACACGTTACGATGGACCCTGATGATACGTTTTGGATCGATCATTCAATGTTTCACCCTTGTGCCAAGATGACCTTCCGCTTGCCTCCCCAGGTACCTCGACCTATGGGAGGATACTGGGATTTGGCGTTGACTGCGGACAATATAGTCTTATACGATGTGGGTTTCTAAGTCACTATGAATTGCCACATTCTAACATATACCCTGCAGTATGACAAGAAAAACGAGTATTGCTACATTTTGAACATCTAATGCAGATTTATTGCGTAGCAGCTCATACCAAATATGGGCACCTGACAGCTGTCACATCGCTCTCCTCTCATCGACAAAATGTGCAGAAATCTGATCTTCCTGGCTGTCATCTACTAGTGTCATATTCGTGCCGGCTTCGTATCTATGAAATCCGCGGCACTCGAGACGTTGGTGACTTCCTGTCGATCACTGCGAGACATGCCTCGGAGGCGCGCACACTTCTTCAAAGACACGCTCACAACGTCCCATGATTGTCGTCAGCCATTTCCCTGTGATCCTCCGAGTGCTCACATTGCTTCTCCGGATTGAAGAATATGAACCCCGGTCATCAGTGCCAACTGAAGGTCCATACATAGTCAGCACTGGAGGTGAAGCTGGACTGGAACGGCTTACGCGAATGGTAATACTCGCTAACGAAGCCAATATGCCAACGAAGTCTGCCGCGCAGTATAAAGCCAGCTAGGGTAGAATGACGAGACTGACCCATGTGTGCATGCGTGGTATATACACGATTTAGTCAGTCGAACCAAGCCACATAATTCGAAAGATGACCACCGACCAAAACCAGATGCGCGGGCAAAGTACTATATCCGTCATTTTGAATAGGACCACGGCAATACAGATGCAAAGGAATGTCAACGCCACGAGCCCTGGAGATTAATAGATGCGTTAACTTAGGTACTGGTCTGGATGTATACCCATACACCCGGGGCGGGATCCGTGAGCAATACCGACGAAATAGAGACAGACCAGCCAGATGGAGGTCGTTCGTGGTCACGCACAGTACACTTGTAGATGTCCCTAGGATTCGCGACTTACTAGTGACACGACTCCAGTAGATGTGAGCAAACAGCAGACCTGAGGACACTCGAAGAAGTGTTGGCTGGGTATGCGGAGAGTGATTTCCAGTATGTTGCAGTCAGTATCCGAAAGTTCACATCGCGGGTTTCTGCGCGCTCGTCGCAGGGGTCGCGACCGGCACTCCGTGCATGGAGGCCTCGGCCTCGGCCGCGGTCTTGAATGGTACTTTGTGTGCGGAAAGCCCTTGACTGGCTCTCTCAGTCACTCCTAAGCTCGGGTTTTCGTAAGTTGCGGGACGGCTCACCAGAGGGAATGGGCTTCAAGTTACCGTAGCGTGTAGATCTCGGGATGGTCCTCTCGCCTGCTCGCCTGCCCCCAGCATGCCTCATCTCCCAGTGATCTTCGGGACACGGCGTACATCACATCCTTCATCGATATTCCAGATTGCCATCCAAGGTTGTGCATTGCCAATAATGAGCATAAAGTCTGAGTCGTACTGCAGGTCAAACTCACTTGCTTCGTAGTAAAGGAATGGTTGGCTAGCGGTGCGATGCTCCCCTTCTTCTGAAAAATTCGAAACTGTTGGAGCCGAAAAGGTCCCTTTTCGACCTCCTCCTCACTGCGATCTTGGCACTCGTATGTCTGAGGCTTTTCGATTCATGGTATACCACTTTGGTTTCGGCAGGCTAGGTCCGTAAGACGTAAGTCGTTCTTAATACCATGCTCTCAACTGTCCTCTCGGGCTTGCAACAGTATAGGATCCTTAGCAGCTAGCAGGAGGTATGGACACGCGGTCCCGGCGAGGTCTTCGTTTTCTCATCTGCAGTGTTAGACGCCGAGGGCGAGTTGTATACATCTTTGTCGTGCGCGTGGTGGAGCGTAGGAATGTGCTGTCGTTTCTCAGGCCATTGCGCATGCCTGTCAGTGGTATCACGGTATAATAGTGCCATGAAGGCAGGGTGCGAGGTCTTTCCGACAATTGTCTATAGCACAGCGCAAAGGTAAGGGTAGTACAGTCTATTGACACAATTGTTCTGGCGGCGTGAAGGTCGTTCAAGTTCGGATAACGTGGGAAATAATCGATTCCAGAGTTAGCTCATTGTCGTGATCATATTACGCTGGGCTCAGGCTCTCTAGGCCAAGGTTTTCTCCCAGAGATATAGGCGCCCGGTTTAGTCACTGGCACTCTAGCTGAGGGCACCAAATTGTGTATGTCTCTAGTCAACGTGAAGCACCGTGACGAGTGCTCTTGAGCAGCAATAAGTGCCAATAACCGCCGAGGATGCTTCGCTGGGTGCGACGACTGTCTACTACAGGGACGTCGCTATCTCGCGTCCCGTCTTCCAATGGCCGCCCCCTGCTCGAAACTACCAAGAAAGTGGAAGAAGAGAAATTTCCATGGTACGACCAGAACACTTACTACCCAGTCCGAATTGGGCAAACTTTTCAATCTCGATACCATATTCTGTCGAAGTTGGGCTATGGTACTTCGGCCACCGTCTGGTTAGCTCGCGATTCTCTGTACGTTTTCACGTCTTCTGGTTACATTTTCACTTGTTCAGATAAGCTGCGTCCGTCTATCACAGGGAAAATAAGTATGTGGTGATAAAAGTCTGTACCAGCAATTATCCCAGCGTCCCGCGCGAGAAGGCCGCCTTTCAGCGCTTACGCCCGTTACGCAAGTCTTCTGTCGTCCAGCAATGCTGGGAAAACTTTGCTGTACGAGGCGCGGAGGGTAATGTTCATGAATGCTTTGTCCTTCAGCCACTCTGTCCGAATCTCGCCCACTTTGGCGAGCACGTTGCTCACCGCTGGGAGGACCTCAAGTCCTTTCGTACCATGGCACGGAGCATTTTCGAGGCTCTAAAGTTACTTCATACGGAGGCACACTTGATCCACTGCGGTGAGCCTCAGAGTGCATGGTCTGGATCGGACCTCATCACTTGCGGATCCTTAGACCTGCGCCCGGAGAACTTCTTGCTCAGCACGGCTACTGATACTGTATTTCGAGCAATGGAAGAGCATGAAGCGAGCGATCCTTCCCCATGCAAAATCGATGGGGATCGCGTTGTGCACACCACGCCTTATGCAATGATACCTGATGATGTGACGGGCATTGTACTGACTGATTTAGGCGAGGCTCGTCCTGGCAACACTTCGACACCTTATTATGACGACATTGAGCCCTTCCCGTATCGGGCACCAGAGATCATCTTCTGCGTCCCCTTCTCGTATCCCGTCGATGTATGGAACGCCGCGGTTATGGTACGTCACCTACGAAATCGTACCTCATTGACGCGCAGTAAAATTCGATAGCTCTGGCACATGTTTGAGAGGAAGCCTCTCTTTCACCCGTACACTTCGAAGGGAGAAGAGGTTGACCTGTTCCACCTGCGACAAATGGTTCACGTGATTGGTCTCCCTCCCTCAAGTCTCCTCGAGCGTTCTGCCGACCGGGAATTCATCCACCAGCGTTATTTTGATAGGAACGGACAGTGGATTGCCATGATTCCTCTCAATAGTAATATCACGCTGGAGATGCGGGAGCAGCGTCTGGAGGGTGATGAGAAGGCGGAGTTCTTGCGCTTCATGCGGAGATGTCTGCAGTGGGAGCCGGAGAAGAGAGCGACGGCAGCTGAACTCTGCAACGATCCGTGGCTTAACCCTACGTAGCTCTCTCTGCATTCCGAGAACAACTTGCATCTTCCGTTATAGGTGGTACGTCCGTCGGGATACGAAATTTCGTCTATAGCTGAGGGGTGCGAACTGCAAACATCTGTTTTCACGATCCCTTCATGATCATGCCCGTTCTTCGAAAGCTTTCAGATAGAAAATTTCATGCTCGATGCCGCTCAGAATCTCCTGGCGGTGCTTTCGGGGTCTTTGGTCGAAGACCGGCGTACGAGGAACTTTTGCCCGCATATGATTTACTTTCTGTCTCTCTCGACTGGCCAAGCGCAGCCTGCGGCCTCTTGCCGCACTTCCGAAATCACCGTTTCCGGATGACTTGGGGTATGATGCTGCAAGGGAGTTTGACCTTTGTCTGTCAGGAGATTTGTAGGTGTTAAGTTCTGTCCTGGAAATTGATGAAGAGTTATGGAGGCAGCAGCATGCACAGTGCGCCCTACACAACTCACCTGTATTGGTTGGATGCTGTAGCTACTGGTAAAGCTCGTATAAACGACCCTTGTCATTAGGCAGCAGAGCTGCAGGGTTTATATACACTGTGGCCCATAGGCTGACTAAGCTATGTGGAATATCTATAATCCTACTGAGCTCCACCTATGATGTCACTGACCCACATGAG